TAATTGGCTGTGTCTGGAGTGGTGGCGGGTTTAACGACACATTTATATATTTACGCGATGTAAAAAAAAAAAAACCTCTGTCATGGATGTATTTGGAGTTTGCGGAGTTCTCTCTCCCCCGTGGTCACGTGGATTTTTGTCCGGGTTCTCCCTGCGTGGGGTTTGTATGTCCTCCTCCTGCTCTGCAGTGAGTGGGTGAGTGGAGTTTTAATTCTCTCTCTCCCTGCTCTGCATGCGTGTCCTCCTGGATCTCCGGTTTCCTCCCATAGCCAAACAAAGACGCAATCCAACTGGAATTGGCCAACACATCCCAAAGCTAAGACATTAACCCACCAAACGACTCAATTGGGAGTACACGCATAGCAACATCTGTGAAACTTTTGGCAGCAAATATAGCCTTGAGATCTCGGTGAGGCTGTCGCGTTCTAATAATAATGATATATTGCTTTACAAAATGTTTTCCAAGGAATTGTATGGCCTGGCGACATACAGGGTGCTTCAACAAAATGTTATAACACTTCTGAGAATTTGCAACAACGCCACGGAGAAGATTCCAGGCCACGTCTTGACAAGGATGGCGAACACGTGGGGAGACTTTTTGACTTTTTTAAAGCTTTTCGGTAAAGTCACGTAAAAGTATAAAACAACAAAAAAATAATATTATATATATTTTATTATATATATTTTTAATACTTTTATGTGACTTCACCGAATAGAACCAAAGAGTATGGATCCTTGCAGTCACGAAAGCTTCAAATCTAGAATTTTTTGAAGCTATATTCTTGGTTCTTTCGGTAACCACAGCAATAACATTTTCTTGCTGTGGTTTTCACACCTGATGATGATTGCTTGTGTTGCAGTCGAAACGTCGTGAGAATTGTATTGTTTTATATTTTTATTATTTTATTGTTTCCCTTCTACGCGGTGACTTTACCGAAAGAACCAAGAATATGAATCCCTGCAGTCACGAGAGCTTTGAATCAAAATTTTTTGAAGCAATTAACATTACATTTGTTATCGTGTTACCGCGTAATATTATCCATTCTTTTTCCATTAAAAACAAAGGTCCCATATAAGTGTTAAAATTTGTTTTTCAAAAGCACCTTACTATATATGACGCCACGACGTTTATTCAGTTTAACACGAAGGCTTTCGCAACCCAATGTGACCCACGACTCGTCACGGGTTTCTTCGGGCCTCGTTCGATCGTTGCGTATAAGTTGAGCTGTGTCCGTTTTTTTTCTCTGCAACCCCCCCAAACCACTCAGCAGATGTGTAATAACAAATGTGTAATAACACGTTCGCCGAACGTATCGACACGCCGTAGCCCAAGCCATTAATAGCGAGAGAATCGAGTGTAATTTTGTTTTTGCTGGTGAATAATATCTCTACTTTGGAGCAGAATCCTCGACGTTTCGATTTAAGCAAGAGACGCCTTAAACAAGACCGGCGTGCTGGCTGATTCAGACTATTTTAACACTCCTTTATCAAGAAACAAACGGTTATTTTTTTATTTGCATGGGGGACGTCACAGTGCCTTTGGTGTATGGGAGACTTCATGGTGGTTGTATGGGTGATGTCAAGATAGCAATGCCACATGGAGGACTTAATGGTAATCATGTTTTGATTTAAAGCTTTCGTGACTGCGGGGATTCATATTCTTGGTTCTTTCGGTAAAGTCACCACGTTAGAAGGGAAGCAATAAAATAATAAAAACATAAAACAATAAAATTCTCACGACGTTTCGACTGCAACACAAGCAATCATCATCATCAGGTGTGAAAACCACAGCAAGAAAATTTGAAAAAGTGGCGTTTTTTTATTATTGTATTGTTTCCCTTCTACGTGACTTTACCGAACGAACCAAGAATATGTTTCGCTGGTAATTAGATTGTAAATGTCGTTGGCTTAGCTCCCCAACACACCGGTGCGCTCTGCCCGTGACGAATTGGCCACGTTGTGTTTACGTGACAACCCTTACTAGTTGGCCGTGTCGGGTGGTGGCGGGTTGAACGACACAACATTCATATACTTACGCGATCTAACACCAAAACACCTGAATTATGGATGACATCGGCCGCAAAAGCCTCGGTCTTAAACTTAACATTCCTTCGCTGTTTGCTTTCCTTAGCGACGCAAAAACTTGTGTGCCGCGTTGCTTAGTTGATAGTTTCCATTTATTTTGGTCTGGCCCCGTGAGCCATTCGGCTCTTGAATCGGGTGCAACCGCAACAACCAAAAAAAATGAACAAGAAAAACATCTTGATTTAAAGCTTTCGTGACTGCAGTAATTCATATTCTTAGTTTTTTTTCGGTAAAGTCACGTTGAAGGGAAACAACAAAATAATAAAATATATATAAAACAATAAAAAAAATTCTCACGACGTTTCGACCATAACTCAAACGGTCGTCTTCAGGTGTGTTGGTCTGCATAAATTTATTTTTAAACGGCGCATTTATTTATTTATAAAAAACGTTAGCGCCACGCGCAGCAATTTGGCAGTTTATTTAGGACTAGTCCATCTATATTCTGAAAAGAGGAGGGGGGAGACGAAATTTTATAATGTATGCTGTCTGAAAGCCACTGTAAGCGTGAACAATCAATTAAGAAAATGTATGCAGACCAACACACCTGAAGACGACCGTTTGAGTTATGGTCGAAACGTCGTGAGAATTTTTTATTGTTTTATATATATTTTATTATTTTGTTGTTTCCCTTCAACGTGACTTTACCGAAAAAAAACTAAGAATAAGAAAAACATCCTCTTCTTTGGTTCTTTCGGTAAAGTCACCACGTAGAATGAGAATAAAATAATAAGTTGATAAAATAAAATAACACAATAATATTCTCACGACGTTTCGGCCACAGCGCTGTCCTCCAGACAGTCTCGTCCCCTTCACCTGATGAAGGCCGCTTGGGTTGTGGCCGAAACGTCGTGAGAATATTATTGTGTTATTTTATTTTATCAATGTATTATTTTATTCTCATTCTACGTGGTGACTTTACCGAAAGAACCAAAGAAGATGAATCCTTGCAGTCACGAAAGCTTTAAATCGAAATTTTAAAGAAAACATCTTATATGATGTGACAAGCTTGTTTCGGATCCGAATATTCGTTTTAACTGGAGCGATTGGCATGATAGAAAATAAATAGCAATCTGATCAGAATCAGATTCACGACTGATTGGCGCCTTCCGTGAAAAGACGTGAGTACACCATTAGACCTTCTTTGCCAGTACCAAAATGTAATAATAGGGGTTTTCCCCTTTTGGTGTGGACCAATCAGTTTCAAGGACAATGCATATATTAATCATAGTGTGTTTTTTTTGTTGTTTGCATTTTGACTGCAGGTATTGTGGTTGATGCAGTAACATGAATCCTTGTAAAAAGGTTTCAGTTTTGTTGCCAGAAAAAAGGGGAAAAACCCTATTATTATTATTACATTTTGGTACGGGCAAAGGAGGTCTAATGATGTAGATGCTCACCCCGAGCCCTCATTACTTTGATAGTGCATTGTCTTTGAGCTGTGTGACGCCTTTTGGCGTCATCTGGTCGAGCACCAATTGGGTCGAGGCTCAAAAGAAAGCCGTCCCTTGGTGTTGACCAATCAGTTTCAAGGACAATGCATCATATATTATCATAATATGTTTTTTTGTTGTTTGCATTTTGACTGCAGGTATTGTGGTTAATGCAAACATGAATCTTCGTAAAAAGGTTTCAGTTTTGTGGCCAGAAAAAAGGGGAAAAACCCTATTATAACGTGAGTACACTTTTCGATCTGGGCAGTACCATATCGCACTGGTAGTGACATGTCACAGGGGCGGTTCACTCGTTGTTGCAACGGACAGCGCCGTAACCCAGAGGGCCTTCCTGGTTCAGTGATCAGACACGCGGGGCTGGAGGGGAAGGTTTTATTGTAACGTTTAATTTGTTACATGAAAGGAATACATTCAAACTGGATGTACATGGAACTTCTTTAGCACCGTACGCAGCCAACCGTGCTAATCAGAGGTGCTGTGCATCAGAGGGTGAGTGGGTGAATGAGAGAGTCGGTGTAGCGAGTGGGTGAATGAGAGAGTGGGTGTGTGAGTGGGTGAATGAGAGAGTGGGTGTGTGAGTGGGTGAATGAGAGAGTCGGTGTGGTGTGAGTGGGTGAATGAGAGATTCGGTGTGTGAGTGGGTGAATGAGAGAGTGGGTGTGTGAGTGGGTGAATGAGAGAGTCGGTGTGTGAGTGGGTGAATGAGAGAGTGGGTGTGTGAGTGGGTGAATGAGAGAGTCGGTGTGTGAGTGGGTGAATCAGAGAGTCGGTGTGTGAGTGGGTGAATCAGAGAGTGGGTGTAGCGAGTGGGTGAATCAGAGAGTGGGTGTGTGAGTGGGTGAATCAGAGAGTGGGTGTGTGAGTGGGTGAATCAGAGAGTGGGTGTGTGAGTGGGTGAATCAGAGAGTGGGTGTGTGAGTGGGTGAATCAGAGAGTCGGTGTAGCGAGTGGGTGAATCAGAGAGTGGGTGTGTGAGTGGGTGAATCAGAGAGTGGGTGTGTGAGTGGGTGAATCAGAGAGTGGGTGTGTGAGTGGGTGAATCAGAGAGTGGGTGTGTGAGTGGGTGAATCAGAGAGTGGGTGTGTGAGTGGGTGAATCAGAGAGTGGGTGTGTGAGTGGGTGAATGAGAGAGTCGGTGTGTGAGTGGGTGAATCAGAGAGTCGGTGTGTGAGTGGGTGAATCAGAGAGTGGGTGTAGCGAGTGGGTGAATCAGAGAGTGGGTGTGTGAGTGGGTGAATCAGAGAGTGGGTGTGTGAGTGGGTGAATCAGAGAGTGGGTGTGTGAGTGGGTGAATCAGAGAGTGGGTGTGTGAGTGGGTGAATCAGAGAGTCGGTGTAGCGAGTGGGTGAATCAGAGAGTGGGTGTGTGAGTGGGTGAATCAGAGAGTGGGTGTGTGAGTGGGTGAATCAGAGAGTGGGTGTGTGAGTGGGTGAATCAGAGAGTGGGTGTGTGAGTGGGTGAATCAGAGAGTGGGTGTGTGAGTGGGTGAATCAGAGAGTCGGTGTAGCGAGTGGGTGAATCAGAGAGTGGGTGTGTGAGTGGGTGAATCAGAGAGTGGGCGTGCGAGCGGCTTGCGCGTATTTACGCTTGCTGAACTTCTTTCGCACCGCACGTCGCCACCCGTGCAAATTGGAGGTGCGGGGCAAGCACGGGGGAACTGGACACTCGTGACAACGAGAACACCGTACCGAGTTTGTCCTCGTGACTGCCACTGCAACAACGTGTCCACGTTAGCACCGCGATGTCAACGCATTTCCCATAAAGCGGTCGGAGCGTGGCATCTGCCAGCCCCTGCCCATCTGAATGCCGCGTTTTTTGCCCCTGGCGAAGAGCCGCGTCCGGGGCCGATTCTGATGGGGTGAAGTGATCGTTTCGCATCGTGCGGGTGGCAGGGTGGCAGGGTGGCAGGGTGGCAGGGTGGCAGGGTGGCCGGCCAGCCGGCTGGCAGGCAGGCAGGCTGGCAGGCTGGCTGACGGGGGGGTCCCATGTCTACCCCGTGCTGGCGACTGAAAACTTGGAACCCTTTTTCAGGGTGCGCGTCACCAGCTGCTTGCCTTGCACGAGCTTGATCGCCACCGAATCGGATTCTGTTGAGAGAGAGAAAGAGGAACACCCCCCCCAACCCCCCCCCCCCGAAAAATATAAACTTCACGAGTGCGAGCGAACCGTAAGGCGGTCCCTCCACCCCCCCCCCCCCACACTACTTCAATCAATGAATCAAGACTTTATTTCTCTAGCACTAAATTTCGATTGAAAGCTTTCGTGACTGCAAGGATTCATCTTCTTTGGTTCTTTCGGTAAAGTCACCACCACGTAGAATGAGAATAAAATAATAAATTGATAAAATAAAATAACACAATAAAATTCTCACGACGTTTCGACCATAACACAAGCGGCCTTCATCAGGTGAAGGGACGAGAATTGTCTGGAGGACAGTCCAACCGGTATCTGGCCGCTCCAGCGCTGTCCTCCAGACAGTCTCGTCCCTTCACCTGATGAAGGCCGCTTGTGTTGTGGCCGAAACGTCGTGATAATTTTATTGCGTTATTTTATTTTATCAATTTATTATTTTTTTCTCATTCTACGTGGTGACTTTACCGAAAGAACCAAAGAAGATTCTCTAGCACTATTTCGTGCAAAGGATGCCATTCGAAGTGCCGTCCAGGTGAAACGAAAAAAAAAACATTGTGAAAAGACTAAAATTACAAGAAGGATAAAAGCAATGTCCATGCAAAAGAAAATTGCATTATTACGCAAAAGCAAGTTGAAAAAGGTGAGTTTTTTTATTTAACTTAAAAGTGCTTCAAGTCGCTCCCGTTCGTCTCTTACAGCTTCACCTTTTCCCCTTCCCTCCCCCTCCATTGATTATCCTCCTACCCTCCCCTATCCCCTACACACCCTCCCCTATCCCCTACCCACCCTCCATCTTGACCCCTACCCTCTCCTATCCCCTACACACCCCTATCCCCTACACACCCTCCCCTATCCCCTACCCTCCCCTATCATCTACCCTCCCCTATCCCCTACCCTCCCCTATCCCCTACCCTCCCCTATCCCCTACACACCCCTCTATCTAGACCCCTACCCTCCCCTATCCCCTACCCACCCCTCTATCTTGACCCCTACCCTCCCCTATCCCCTCCACACCCCTCTAGATTGTCCTCTACCCTCATCTATCCCCTACACACCCTCTATATTGACCCCTACCCTCCCCTATCCCCTACCCACCCCTCTATCCTGACCCCCTACCCTCCCCTATCCCCTACCCACCCCTCTACATTGACCCCTACCCTCCCCTATCCCCTACCCACCCCTGTATCCTGACCCCCTACCCTCCCCTATCCCCTACCCACCCCTCTATCCTGACCCCCTACCCTCCCCTATCCCCTACCCACCCCTCTATATATTGACCCCCCATAGACGTGAAGTTTCTATTTCAGATCAGCAAAAGCCCTTCTTCTCTCACACCGGGTGGTGAAAACGTTGCAGCCTGAAGGCTCCTCCACTCACTATCAGTGACGTAGTGACTACATCATCAGTGACGTAGTAACTACATTTTCAGTGGTGTAGTAACTACATTATCAGTGGTGTAGTAACTACATTATCAGTGGCGTAGTGACTACATTATCAGTGGCGTAGTGACTACATTATCAGTGGTGTAGTAACTACATTATCAGTGGTGTAGTGACTACATTATCAGTGGTGTAGTAACTACATTATCAGTGGTGTAGTAACTACATTATCAGTGGCGTAGTGACTGCATTATCAGTGGCGTAGTAACTACATTATCAGTGGCGTAGTAACTACATTATCAGTGGTTTAGTGACTACATTATCAGTGGTGTAGTAACTACATTATCAGTGGTGTAGTAACTACATTATCAGTGGTGTAGTGACTACATCATCAGAGACGTAGTAACTACATTATCAGTGGTGTCGTAACTACATTATCAGTGGTGTAGTAACTACATTATCAGTGTTGTAGTGACTACATTATCAGTGGTGTAGTCACTACATTATCAGTGGCGTAGTAACTACATTGTCAGTGGTGTAATGACTACATTATCAGTGGCGTAGTAACTACATTATCAGTGGTGTCGTAACTACATTATCAGTGGTGTAGTAACTACATTATCAGTGGTGTAGTGACTACATCATCAGTGACGTAGTAACTACATTATCAGTGGTGTCGTAACTTCATTATCAGTGGTGTAGTAACTACATTTTCAGTGGTGTAGTAACTACATTATCAGTGGTGTAGTGACTACATTATCAGTGGCATAGTAACTACATTTCCAGTCGCGTAGTAACTACATTATCAGCGTAGAGTTATCGCTGTAATTACATTAAAATAGAACGTCGATCGTAAATGAATTCATTTTCAGAACGAAATTAATTTAAACCTCGCTTTAAATATTTCTCTCGTTGTGCTTTAACACTCTTGTTGAAAATATATCTCGTGGTGATCGTCAAGGCCCTCTCCCCCCACCCAACTCATAGCTTTGGCCACCCGTTGCGTTGTGTGGTGGGATGCGTTCCACAACCAGTGCATTGCCAAGCAGAGCCACGCGGAGACCCGCCACCCCAGCTTGTGCACTCTCACCAGCGTTCGGTTGGCCCCAAACCTGCGTTCACCGTGAGCCCACCTGCCTGACGAGCTCTCGTTCAATCAGAATGTTAAATGCCTCGCCCGCTATGCAGGAGGTCGCGGGTTCGATGCAGACCCTAACGCCTGCCGCTGTATATTTGGAGTTTGGATGTCTCTCTCTCTCTCATCATCATCATCACGGTGGCTAGGAGATGTTAACGACCTCGCCTGGTATGCAGGAGGTCGCGGGTTCGATGCAGACCCTGACGCCTGCCGCTGTATATTTGGAGTTTGGATGTCTCTCTCTCTCATCATCATCATCACGGTGGCTAGGAGATGTTAACGACCTCGCCTGGTATGCAGGAGGTCGCGGGTTCGATGCAGACCCTGACGCCTGCCGCTGTTTGTTTGGAGTTTGGATGTCTCTCTCTCTCTCATCATCATCATCACGGTGGCTAGGAGATGTTAACGACCTCGCCTGGTATACAGGAGGTCGCGGGTTCGATGCAGACCCTGACGCCTGCCGCTGTATATTTGGAGTTTGGATGTCTCTCTCTCTCATCATCATCATCATCATCACGGTGGCTAGGAGATGTTAACGACCTCGCCTGGTATACAGGAGGTCGCGGGTTCGATGCAGACCCTGACGCCTGCCGCTGTATATTTGGAGTTTGGATGTCTCTCTCTCTCATCATCATCATCATCACGGTGGCTAGGAGATGTTAACGACCTCGCCTGGTATACAGGAGGTCGCGGGTTCGATGCAGACCCTGACGCCTGCCGCTGTATATTTGTAGTTTGGATGTCTCTCTCTCTCTCATCATCATCATCATCATCACGGTGGCTAGGAGATGTTAACGACCTCGCCTGGTATACAGGAGGTCGCGGGTTCGATGCAGACCCTGACGCCTGCCGCTGTATATTTGTAGTTTGGATGTCTCTCTCCCCGTGGTCGCCTGGAATTTTCTCCGCGTCCTTTTCTTCTTTTCTTTTCCCCCTCCACGTTTAAAATGAACGTCACGCGTTTAGGGTTATCTGTCTGCTGATACAAATTTGCACGTGACGATGATAAGCCACTTCGTCGAGCAGGTGAAGGCCCCCCCATTGAGCTTTATATAGCTCAGTGGGGGGGGGGGGGGGGGGGCTTATCCGGTAAAGTAAATACAATCTGTAGTTTATAGTTCAGTTTATAGTTCAGTTCATGGTTTCGTTACACTGATAGTTCTCACCAGAGGGGAGCAAGACGGAGTTGATGGCGTGGATCACCCCGTTTGTGGCCATTAAATCCTCCTGCACCACATCGTGGCCAGCAACAGAGAGGACGCCATCCCGGGTCTGCCACACGCGACAACAACAGCAACAACAATACCAACAGCAACAACAACAATTACTCTCTGGGATGACTACCGATGGGTCTGTTGCATTGTTCGTCAGAATATGACCAAGCGTCTTCACGTCCATCGATCACCCATCCCACTGCGTCCCATCCCCGTGACCCTCACGTGCCCTCTGTTAAAGGTCACTCATTCCTCGGCCCTTTATAACGCCCTCGACATCTACGTCCCTCTGTGTTTTTTGCTACCGCTTTTAAATTCTGCGATAGAGCGTGCCTTGAGCTGAGGCACAGCTCTCTAAGTATATATATAAAAAAGAGACGTGTGTGTGTGTGTGATGAACTCCGGTCGTCATCCTCGCAGCAGCAAAGGATTTTGGCTCAGCCGTCGAGCAAAAGGCGGCGGTCACCGCATCGTCGCGCGGCGCTTTCAGACGCGCTTCTGCGGCCGTCTGGAACGCTCTCTTCCTTCCCGATGTTAGGAAGCCCGGTGGTGCCGTGCACTTTTTAATCGTGATCTTCTTTAAAACTGCTTTTTGTATTTAGTTTGTTGTCCTTCCCCCCCACCTCCTCCTCCTCCCCACCTCCGATTAGCGCGGTTGGCTACGTACGAATGCGAAAGAGGTTCAACATTACGTAGAAATTAGAATTTTGGTCGGTGTTTATTTCTTCTGGTGGCCTTGGCCCATCCGTGGAATTCCACAACTCCCCCTAACACGGGCAGGTCTGCTAACTGGATAACCAATGTGTGAGTATGTATGCGTCCCATAGGCTCACGCAGAGACCCACAGACTTGCAACGAGACCCATGCACTCGCATGCATGCTGAACTCCTTTCGCACCGTACGTAGCCAACCGAGGCTAATGGAAACCAAACACACACTAAAAAGCAGTTCTAAAGAAATTCGTTTTCAACACAGACGACTTAAAGCGCATAGCTCCAGCCGGCTTCCTGATATCGGAAGGGAGAGCGTTCCAGACGGCCAACTGAAGCGCATTCTGAAAGCGCCGCACGATGCCCGCGAGCCCCATCTTTGTCCGACTGACCGCGAGGACTTAGGGTAAGTGACCCGACAGCTCTTGCCCTCCTGGACGAAACGTCTTCTTTTTCTGCGTTTACCACGGGCAAGGCCCCACCACGGCGCTACACGGATCATTTTAAGGAAGCGAACTGACCACCGCAAATGATAGCTCGACGAAGTGGCTGGTATCATCACGTGGAAATTTCCAGCGGGCGTTGATTATAAACGCGGAAGGATAAACCGGAGGACTCGGGAGAAAAATCCTCGCGACCACGGGGACAGCACGCAAACTCAAAATATACTTTAAAAAAAACTAAACTATTTTTTTTTTAATTTGACCAGGTAAGGCCCACTGAGCCAAATCGGCTCTTTTTGCAGAAGTGCACACAACAGGCGTCAGGGTCGGGATCAAACCCACGTGCCAGCTCCCTCCCTCCCTCACCACCGCCGCCACCACCACCACGAGCGGCTCACCCCTCCTCACCTGTACGAGCTCCAGGCCACCACCCTGCAGCGTGGTAAGGAAAGTGGTGGCGTCTTGCGGCACCCCACCCTTCACCACCACGCCATTCGTCAGGTGGAACTTCAGAACCTCGGCCTGCTGCTTCGTGCTACCTGAAGATCGTCATCATCATTCGCATGAAATTAATTTTCATCGTCATCGTCATCATCGTCGTCAGCGTCGTCGTCGTCATTATGAATCACAATAGCTTGCTGAACTCGTCAAGTCGCATAAACCATCGCCACGTGAACTCTGGCCAACCTCGCAGCAGCAGTGGCTATTGGCTAACCGTCCAATCAAGACGGCCACTGCATCACCCGCTTTCTGATGCACTTCTGCGGCCGTCTGGAACGCTCTTCCTTCCGGTATTAGGAAGCCACTGGAGCTATGCACTTATAAACCATCCAGATTGAAGGCTAATTTCTTTACAACGGCTTTTTTTCTGTTTAGCTTGTTGTCCTTCCCCCGCACCTCCGATTAGCATGGTTGGCTCCGTATGGTGCGAAAGAAGTTCAACATACATGCGAGTGTATGGGTCTCTGTGTGAGTCTATGGGTCTCTGTGCAAGTCTGCGGGTCTCTTTGTGAGTCTATGGGTCTCTGTGTGAGTCTATGGGTCTCTGTGTGAGTTTATGGGTCTCTGTGTGAATCTGTGGGTCTCTGTGCAAGTCTGCGGGTCTATGTGTGAGTCTATGGGTCTCTATGCAAGTCTATGGGTCTCTGTACGAGTCTATGGGTCTCTGTGTGAGTCTATGGGTCTCTGTGTGAGTCTATGGGTCTCTGTGCAAGTCTGCGGGTCACTGTGTGAGTCTATGGGTCTCTGTGTGAGTCTGCGGGTCTCTGTGTGAGTCTATGGGTCTCTATGCAAGTCTATGGGTCTCTGTGTGAGTCTATGGCTCTCTGTGTGAGTCTATGGGTCTCTATGCAAGTCTATGGGTCTCTGTGTGAGACTATGGGTCTCCGTGTCTCTATGCGAATATATGGACATATGTGTGATTCTATGGGTCATTGTGTGAGTATATGGTTCTCTGTGTCTCTATGAGATTGTATGGGTCTCTGTGAGTTTATGGGTTTCTGTGTGAGTCTATGGGTCTCTGTGTGAGTCTATGGGTCTCTGTGTGAGTCTATGTGTCTCTGTGCGAGTCTAGGCATCTCTGTGTGAGTCTATGCGTCTCTGTGTGAGTCTATGGGTCTCTGTGTGAGTCTATGTGTCTCTGTGCGAGTCTAGGCATCTCTGTGTGAGTCTATGCGTCTCTGTGTGAGTCTATGGGTCTCTGTGTGAGTCAATGTGTCTCTGTGCGAGTCTAGGCATCTCCGTCTGAGTTTATGCGTCTCTGTGTAAGTCTATGGGTCTCTGTGTGAGTCTATGGGTCTCTGTGTGAGTCTATGCGTCTCTGTGTGAGTCTATGGGTCTCTGTGTGAGTCTATGCGTCTCTGTGTGAGTCTATGGGTCTCTCTGCGAGTCTAGGCATCTCTGTGTGAGTCTATGCGTCTCTGTGTGAGTCTATACATCTCTGTGTGAGTCTATGGGTCTCTGTGCGAGTCGCAAGAATGGGGGTTCGGGGTGACGCTTGATCGCAGTGATTCCCTGGCGTGTGACGTGCTGTGCGGAACATAGACCGCCCACCAAGTTCAAGACTAACCCGGGCGGGACCTCCTTTACCCTTGGATATAAACCATCTCCTCTGAGTGAGATTGACCTCTCGCTGCTAGCGGGTTTTTGAACCCGAGCTGGCCGTGTCCTATTTCTCCGTGTTGACGAGCCCCGCTCGATCTTACGCCAGCCATCTTCATCGCATGGCCCCTGCGGGTCCACTGGTGGCCTTTTAGTGGCCTTTTAGTGGCCAGTGGCCTTTTAGTGGCCTTTAGTGGCCAGTGGCCTTTTAGTGGCCAGTGGCCTTTTAGTGGCCTTTTAGTGGCCAGTGGCCTTTTAGTGGCCTTTTAGTGGCCTTTCAGTGGTCTTTCAGTAGCCTTTCAGTGGCCTTTTAGTGGTAGCCCCTGACAATACACAAACGGTGAAAGCCCCCGCCCCTAATGGTTTCGAATGACGCGGCGGACACTCACGCCGCCCGATGTCCTTTCGGCGAAAGTGCCGATAACCTGCGGGGATGAAGAGCGAGGGAGAACACGCGCCCCCTCCAAATATACAACAACGGTCATCGGCAGGGTCCGATGTCGAAACCACGCGCCTCCTGCGTACCGGGCGAGGGAGATGACGCCTCGCCACAGTGGCGATGTGATGCGACGGGATTTCTGACGGCTGCCCTAAACCATTTCTGCAAACGGCCGAGGGCAGCCGACGGATGGGCAACGTCAAGCGGTTCGTGCGGCGGCAGGCAAGGTTTGGCGTCGGGGGTTTTAAGTTTGAATCAGAAAGGTGCCAGTGTGGCTCAGAGGTCAGAGGTCGGAGGTCAGAGCGCTGAGCTGGCACTGCTGAGGGTCCTAGGTTCGGATCCAGGCAGCCACCGTCTGGTTGCACTGGTTTCTCCGGCATAGCGAGTTTCAATTAAAAACTTTTAACCATTTTTTTTCTTCTAAGTTTACTCGGTAAGGCCCCAAGGAACTCTATAGCTTGATTGGTTGCTTTCGTGACTGCAGGAATTACTCTTTCGTTTTTTCGGTAAATATAATTTTATTTGTATTATTTCTACGTGACTTTACCGAAAAAACCAAAGCGTAACTCTATAGCTCTTTTTCAGAACCGACCTGGCCACAAATGATAGCTTTAAAAAAGTGGCTCATCATCATGTGGAAATGTATAGCAGCCAAATACTCTGAACGCGTGTCAATTCTAAGCGTGGAGGGAAAAACCGGAGGACCCGGAAGAAAAAATCCACGCGACCACGGTGAGAAAAAATAAAAACTCCGAATATACAGCAGGCGTCGGGGTCGATATCGAACCCACGACCTCCTGTGCACCAGGCGAGGTAGTTAACATCTTGCCACCGTGATGATGATGAGAGAGAGAGACACACACAAACTCCAAATATACAGCAGCAGGCATCAGGGTCGGGATCGAACCCACGACCTCCTGTGTACCAGGCGAGGTAGTTTACATCTCTTAGCCACCGAGAGTTGATGGTCTCAGCCTGGGCCTACCACATTAAATTGAAGTTGCGCAATTACTTTTGTAAAAAAAATCCAGCTTCGAGAATTGAAAGCATCCCTTTGACCGGCCCGCGGAGCGGCCAAATTGCCAGCCCCTACCGGGTGGGGCCAGAGGCGGCTTGAAGGGATCTCAGAGGTAGCTCTATGACCTCCACTTCCATGGGCCGCCGTCTCACACGAAGGGGTGCGCCCCCCCCCCCCTCCTTGCGAGGCATTGGCGCCGGGCTTCGCCATCGCTGATTCGTTTCACATCGCGGCCTGGACCCCCGGCGCTCAAACCGAGAGGCGTCTCGTCGCGCGGCAGACGTGCGTCGCGACGAGCCGGTGAGAAGACGTTGGCGGGGAAGGGAGCCAGCGCGTGATGAGCGTGACGACGCGCGGAATGAACGCCAGCGGAAGAGAATGAAAGTCGAGTGGCTGGCGATGACCGAGCGCGGTTCCTCCGCGAAGCTGATGGGCCCCCAACCCTTGGAACCGCAACCGCTGCGCCCAAAACCACGGCAGACGCGGATTCCCGACGCACGAAACGGAGCGTGGACGAGTCCCTCGGACGCGCGACTGCGCTCGACCAGGGCAGAGACCGGCGCGACGCATAACGAACGGCGTGATGCCCCCGATCCGCCGAGAAAGAAAGGGGACATCGCAGACACGAATTCTGCCCTTCCTGACGCGCTCATCTGGCTCGACCACCTGCATTTGACGTAAGAAGGAAGGAAGGAAGGAGGAAGAAGAGGAGGAGGAATGAGAAGAGAATGAGGAAGAGAATGAAGAAGATGAAAGAGGAAGAAGTTGGGAAGAGGGACGGTGTAAATGAAGGGTAGTTTGGTGTAAGTGAGTGAGTGTGAGTGAGTGTGGGTGTGAGTGAGTGAGTGAGTGTGAGTGAGTGGATGTGAGTGAGTGTGAGTGAGTGTGAGTGAGTGTGATTGAGTGAGTGAGTGTGAGTGAGTGTGAGAGAGTGTGAGTGAGTGTGATTGAGTGAGTGTGATTGAGTGTGGGGATGAGCGAGTGAGTGTGAGAGAGTGTGAGTGAGTGAGTGTAAGTGGGTGTGAGTGAGTGTGAGTGGGTGTTGAGTGAGTGTGAGAGAGTGTGAGTGGGTGTGAGTGAGTGAGTGTGAGTGAATGAGTGGGTGTGAGTGAGTTTGAGTGAGTGTGGGTGTGAGTGAGTGTGAGTGAGTGAGTGGGTGTGAGTGAGTAAGTGAGTGTGAATGAGTGAGTGTGAGTGTGAGTTAGTGAGTGTGAGTGAGTGTGAGTGAGTGTGAGTGAGTGTGAGTGAGTGAGTGTGAGTGAGTTAGTGTGAGTGAGTGGGTGTGAGTGAGTGAGTGTGAGTGAGTGTGAATGATTGAGAGTGAGTGAGTGTGAGTGAGTGGGTGTGAGTGAGTGTGAGTGAGTGTGAGAGAGTGTGAGTGAGTGTGAGTGAGTGTGTGTGAGTGTGAGTGAGTGTGAGTGAGTGTGTGTGAGTGAGTGAGTGTGAGTGAGTGTGAGTGAGTGTGAGAAGAGTGTGAGTGAGTGTGTGGATATGATTGAGTGTGGGTGTGAGTGAGTGTGAGCGAGTGAGTGTGAGAGAGTGTGAGTGAGAATGAGTGTGAGTGAGTAAGTGTAAGTGGGTGTGAGTGAGTGTGAGTGGGTGTTGAGTGAGTGTGAGAGAGTATGAGTGGGTGTGAGTGAGTCAGTGAGTGTGAGTGAGTGGGTGTGAGTGAGTTGGTTTGAGTGAGTGAGTGTGAGTGAGTGGGTGTGAGTGAGTGTGAGTGAGTGAGTGAGTGTGAGTGAGTAAGTGTGAGAGGGTGTGAGTGGGTGTGAGTGAGTGAGTGTGAGTGAGTGGGTGTGAGTGAGTTGGTTTGAGTGAGTGAGTGAGTGTGAGTGTGAGTGAGTGTGAGTGCGTGGGTGTGAGTGAGTGTGAGTGAGTGAGTGTGAGTGAGTGAGTGTGAGTGAGTGAGTGTGAGTGGGTGTGAGTGAGTGTGAGCGAGTGAGTGTGAGTGAGTGTGAGTGGGTGTGTGTGAGTGAGTGAGT